GTCCTCATAGCAGCAAACCAATCTAAACCCCGTTAGCAAATGAGCTTAAGATGTCAGCTTAAAAGCTTTTCCTGAAACTGAGATGGGAGATGGAGCTGTGATGGCTCCCTCACAGCTGCAGAGCAGCTCCAGAGCGAGAGATAGAGAGTGGAAGAGTCAAAAAAGAACCACACCTCACATCGTGCTCTATATTCCAGACCAATGGCTTTTGTCATTTAAACTGTGTGTGTGTTTAGCAGGTGCCCAAGAAAAATATCTAGAGTTCCTATCCGTAATTACACATATCTTTCTGAGTATGTGACCATGTTATTATCAATGTCTTAAAACAACATAAAATAAATGAAAAAGCAATCTCATTTCATTGTTTAAAATTTTTATAAAGGTGTACTATTGTTAGACAGTGTTAAGCTCTAGCACGTTATGCTAAAGCTATACATAAACTACATTGAAATATTGGTTAACACTTTACAATAGAAGTCCCTTTAATGGCGTTACTTAGTGCATAATTAAGCATTAATAAACAAAAAACCCTTTATTCTTGTTCCAGAAATTATAAATTATTGAGTTTCCTCAATAGTTTAATGTATCTGCTTAGTGATACATTACATAACAATAACATTAGATAGCGGTTAATATTTATTTGATAGCTTAATAATGCATTAAGTAATGGTAATAAAGGGACCCTTAATATAAAGCGTTACCAAATATTGTTACTCATTACAGTGTTTGATGCTTTTGTTTTTGTCCTTTGTGTGCATTTAGACTAAAGATTGTTATTCCCCACACAGTCACTGTCATGTTTATATTTCATAAAATTAGTAAAACATCTGGAAGAACCTTATAAACATGGCCCCTAATAAGACTCTCAGATCATTTAAGATATTTTTAATGAAAACACTAAGGTAAAAGGCTTAAGAGTATGTGATTCATCTAAAGGTCAAAGAAAAGCTAGAATATTTGCTAAACTGAAATTGCCTTAATTTTATCCAACATGACATTATAATGTAATTTACAACTTGAAAAGACATTAAACTGCAAAAAGCAAGATGGATCCGTTTACTCCCATACCACACCACTTTAATTTATAAAGCACATTTAACATGGCATTACAGCCAACCAAAGCGCTGCACATAATCAAACAACACAAAGCATAAAATATTCACATCATTACAAAAAACTATATAAAAATTGCACAAAAAGGTACTGTCAGCCAAACAAGGAACCATAAAAGCAGACCTGGGATTTAAAAATAGCCAGAACACTGCTTTTAAATTGAAGAACCAAAGTGGAAGGGGGATGACAGGAGAAATGCTTTAAGAATCGAAGGCCAGGGAGAAGTAGTGTGTTTTCTAAAAACGGCAAGCAAGGGTGCTTGCCTAACCAAAAGGCGTAGTGAATTCCTCGGTTTCGGGGCACAAATAGAAAAACCCCTCTCCTAAGAGGGATGCTTGATTATGGAACACAATGACATAATTTGACTAGTTAAAGAGGCCCTTCACTGAGAACTCTTTATTACTTATTACTTTTAAAAACAATCGGTCACTCTGAGTTCAAAATGCATGCAGGCTTAACGTGAAAACAGTCGTCTGCCCCTACATTCCCCTTTGTACTGCATTAGCTTCTGACAGAAAATAGACAGTGAAATACTAAGATTTGAAAAGCCTGAAGCAGGGTCCACAATGGAGGCAACAGAGGTGTGGAACAACAGCAGGACAGTTTACTTGTGTGCTTAATGGCGCATCAACCTACACAGATTCACAACCCTGTGGAGCAGCATATCAGCCATCTCCCTCGCTGGACTCTCAAAATCACAGGTCACAATTTGTTTATGGCATTCGCCATTAAACCAAAAAGACGACGATGGAGATCACATTTGACATCAATGTATGATGTCATTTGTAATGTTGTTCCTCCCCACTGCTAGCCTAGTGAACTAGACCAAATTCTTGCTTTGCAAAGTTTGGTCTAGGCGCGCTCCATTGGAACCTCCGCAGCTCCTACCAGGACTCTGGCTAGCCAATTACAACTCTCTAGAGGGGTTTCAAACACATTAAGAGCTGTGATTGGTCCATAATGGTGGGCCAATCATAGTGGTCTATCTGCTTAGTGAACAAATCACAGAGCTTTATCCGCTTCGTGGGCCAATCAGGGCACTCTATATGCCTGGTGGGAGGGATGATGCAACAGAGTGAAACAAGAGTATGTCACATTCATTGTCCAGTGGAATGCGGAGATCATTTGAAAGACAACGGTAGAACCCGCCCCACAACCGAGAGCCGTCAATGGAGCGTTGCCAGACTAAATAATACATTCATTTAGTCTGGCTTGCCAGGCTAACCCACTGCCAAAATTAAAGCCACAAAAAAATACTGTTGCACTTCTCGAAAGATACTGGTAGCAAATAAGGAGTGAGATCACACAAATAGATGTATGCCTAAATTGCATCCCTGCAATAGGGGTTTATTTGACAGTTACCAGACATTTCACACTGACACCATGTGTGAGTTCCTGTCTAGCCCTATATTAGCTGTGGAAATGTATGCAAGTGGCACGAGGTAAAAATAAAACCAAATCTTATTTTAGGGGTGCAGCGTGGCAAGCTGCTTCAGGGACGTAACTGAAAAGTTCTACACCACGATTGATTTTGCTCAATCCCATGAACTATAATTGATTGTATTTGATTGTGACGTTCTGCTGCTGTTCCTCACCGCTGATGCCTTCAGTGTGGACTTGCCTTAACAGATCTACGTCACATTGTACCTTAACAGTCATGGATTCACCTATCTTGACTCGCAAAGGGAAACGAAACAACAGAGAACATTTCAACAAGCAGAAGCTAACCATTAGCATTAACAACTTCACCACAGAGCAGAACTCCTTCAGGCTTGTGTTATTTGTCGGATATAAAAAAAAACATCCACGTTTCAAGTCAATGGTAGAGTTGCGCTGCTGTTATCTAATCGGAGACAAGATGGCCACATATCAAGAAATAAGACTCTAAAACCAGCCGCCTGAAGCTACTTTCTTCTCTCACTGAATTCTCCGTACTGAAACATGCGCACCAGAGGTTTCTTTACCCAGAGTACGACTTACAAGACATTCATTCCTAGAGACTTTTGCAAATGTATTCAAAATATAAGTGAAGAACATCTTCAATACTTTAAAGCTGTCAAGTGGTACCACGTATGTTAAACAGAGCTACTCTGTATTGACTTGATTACAGTCTAAGATAATTAATTACAAAAGCAAGTGAACACTTTTGCTGATATTTATGAAACAAAATATTTTCTCCTTAATTGTGACTATTACAATGAAAAACAATAATAATCATCCCAAACTATAGGATGTTTTATTACTACTATGGTTAAAAATCAACAATCTCTATCCAAACTTTAAGACAAGATTTAAAATTGTTAAGTTACTAGTTATTGTAGGCCACAGAACTATGATTGTATACAATGTAAAAAAAAGTCAATGATCTTTGGGCCATTTTTCTAAAAGGATTCCAAATGAGGCATATTGGTAAAAATCTGGATGTAAAAATTCTAGAAAATATAGGTCTTCACCAGAAGTCCTGAAGAAACAAAATTCATCATTCAAAGAATGCACTGGGGGCCACACAAAATTACCTTGAGGGCCAAAAATGGCCCTTGGGTCAAAATTTGGACATGCACGTTCAAACCTAATCCTTGTGTTGTATTGATTACTTTATTTTCATAGTGCTGGGTTTGTGTCTAATAAAACAATTAGTTTGTATGTAGAAATTAGGCTGCAGGGTTGCACAGTTGAAAGAACTTTAGCCTTGCAGCACAAAGGTTGCAGGTTCAAATCTTGGGAGCAACCATTCTGTGTGGAGTTAGCTTGTTCTCTCCATGCATGCAGGGTTTTCTCCAGGTATTCCAGGTTCCTCTCACGCACAACAAATCTTGCTTGTTAGGTAGATCTGCAAGTTGATTTGGACACAGAAATCTAACAATAAACTGAACAATCCAGATTCAAGTCCAAAACAAAAAACTGAGACTTGAAACCACCAAAACAATAAGAGGTGATGCATGGTGATGCACAATGTTAACCTTCTCAGGCTCAAAATAAGTTTTGATAAAAGGACGAACAACCAAGTCCTTCAGGGGTACTTCTGAGTTCAAAAATGTTCATGAAATACATATGTGGAGTAACCAGGTAGGTAGGTTTTAACGTTGCAAATCTGCAACACTTGCCTCCAGAGGGTTAAAAGCCGAAGATGCCCGCAGAAGACAGACGACAGCAGAGACATTCACATTCTGTTCCTGACGATTATCTGTCTCTTTAGGTGGTTTATTCAGTCACATATTTAGAATCAGACAGTAAAATCTTTTCATGGTTCATAATTCACACAGACAGCATACATTATTCAGTGACTTTGTGAACTGTTGGCTATGTGACCTTCTCAGGAATTCCTTCTTATATCACATGTTGTCCTGGGGTGACAGGAAAATACTAAACTGAAACAGATGATCGCAATCATCTTAAGGGTGGATTGGCACTTATTTCCCCTGCATAAATCTATGTATCCTCACGTTTCATGCAAAGTTGTTCTTTTCAAATATCTCCAATAGACTGTAGTGTGTCTTTATTGTTGGAGTACAAGTGAAAACAGCCGAGAATCTGCAGGTTGGAGCAAATCACAAAGCTCTAGTTGCTTGCATGGTCACACATGCAAGGCTAGGCATGTTGAATCCAGACAGTCATCTGCACTGCAGAAAACCGGCTGGGCCAAGTTGCTGTTTAACTGTCGACATCAATCTAAACCGTGAACTAAATGGAAATCGAGTATTTATTGACAAATAAATTCGATTATTCGGTATTTTCTTGTGGAAGCAAGAAAAAGCATTTAAATGGAACTAAAAACAAGCAGTCCCACCCCACAACAACTGCACCTAGAGCCACATAAAGCAATTGTAAAGTTATGCATGGGTGTATTCACACAAAAACGCTGCGATAAGGCCTGCACGCGCACCTACCTTTCACTTGGGTCTCATATTCAGCTATGATCTCTTTGTCCTTCTTGACTTTCGCCTGAGATGACATTTTTGTGGAGAACGGATTGTGCAATCCTCAGGCAGGCAGGGTTCAGCGTGTCTGCTGCCACAACGCAGCGATGGCCCGACCGTCCGCAGTCCTATCTCCAGTCAGCTGAGCAGCGATCAGATGGAAATCATCGCCGCAGCTCGACCCAACTTCGGAGCTCCAAACGCACTTCTTCTTCTCTGGTCCTCCCGGTTCAGTTGCGGCGCTGCTGCGTTCGAGGCGACGTCTCTTTGAAAGTGTTAAATGATCATCGTTCCTGACCGCTGCTCCTGCTCCTCCTCCTCAGTACTCTCATTGAACCACTATAGGTTTTATGAACATCTGATGCAGGCTCAACTAGGTTATCCTTACGGATGAGCTGTCCCTTCAGCTTCTTCCTTCAGCATCTGTTTTGGGTATTGTGCATGTGTGTGCCCGCGCTTGTGCCTGCAGCAGCAGATTTAGTTGAATGGATATGAGACTCCTCCTTGAAAACCCTCCCACTCTCCCTCACGTTTCTTTCATGGATGATTTAGGTGTGTGTGTGTGTGTGTGTGTGTGTGTGTGTGTGTGTGTGTGTGTGTGTGTGTGTGTGTGCGTGTGCGTGTGTGTGTGTGTGTGTGTGTGTGTGTGTGTACCTATGGTTTGTCAGCCCGATTGTCAGGCTACGCACCAGCATAATGAAACCATTGGTTTTATGAGACAATTTTTGATGGTCACAACAAAAAAAACTATCTTCCAGTTAAATGGTGACAGACCCAAGTGCTTCAATGATCACTGGTGCATCTAAGGCCTTGACTCATCACCACAGCTCTATTTCCTCTTTCATTCCTTGATATTTTGGATGTTATATATACATGTGTATACAGGTCTCATAAAGTTTGAAAGTCTGCTTAAACCACAAAACAGTTAGAATTGTGCATTTTTCTAAACAGACCTCATAAACTCTACTTGTCTCCACAAACCACCATGTTGTCATGTCCCCATAAGCCTGTGAAGTGTCATGTGTGAAATGTATGTGTGTTATGGTTTTTCCTACTTTTGAAGTAAGACTTTTCTTCCATGGGTAAAAAAAAAAAGTTTTTTGACATATTTTTCATGTTCACCAGATGCAGGGAAACGTGCGTCCTCATAAACCACCAAAAAGTCGTAGTGGTTTCATAAACCATAAATTCACATGTGTGCGTGTGTGTGTGTGTGTGTGTGTGTGTGTGTGTGTGTGTGTGTGTGTGTGTGTGTGTGTGTGTGTGTGTGTGTGTGTGTGTTTATTAAGATCCCCATTAGCCACTGTTAAAACAGTTGCTATTCTTCTTGGGGTCATAACATCATCCAAAAAATATATTATTCATGCATCAACACTGGGCTCACAAACAAACAATCCATTTCACTATACAATACAAATCTCCACTATAAGAGCACGCTACAATCCACCCAATACAGCACCAAAATAAGATACATTTCCTGTAACATAAAATGCAATTTACTCCACGCACACTGGATAACAATACATAAAATTATTAGAACATAAAACTCATCTTCCTCAAACTCGTATAAAAAGTTTATAAATAAATATCCTCAACCACCTACAAAAATCACTCCTTTGTAGCTGACCCCTCAATAATTGTGGTAAACTATTCTATTCCACCATAGCTCTATACAGTACTGACCAATGAAGAAAATTAGTTTGACTAACTAGCAACAAAAAGCAGCCATCAGCTTGGCGTGTAGCATGTTGGTGAACATCTCTAAAAAATGTCAACTGATTTAAAAAATGTCTGGTGTCTGTGTATTCATAACATTCCTAATAAATTTTATAAGGAAGTACTTTATTCTACTCTTTACCCCATCGACATAAATATACTGGACATCTCCTTTCCATAGGCTCCAGTATCACGTTTTTGAGGCCAAATGGGAGGTGGCCAAAACCGCCATTTTGACCGTGTCACAGGTTCCGTCAAGCCCAGACAATTCCAAAAAAGGGAAGAGAGGAGGAGCTGAGGGTGGGGCTGTAAGGCTGGGATCAACTGACGACACCCGGTCGAACTAGCTACAAGCTAACCTGAAGCTAACCCTGGCTAACCCAAAGCTAATGCAGAGGTGGGAGCTAAGCTAATGGAGGTAGCAACCTAGCTACAACCAGAGTTAACTGTGCACAACACCAGAGCTTCTGAGTCAGAGATACGCCGGGCTGACCGCTGAGTAAAACCGGGTGGGACACAGAGGTCTCCGAGACCTCCACAGAGGTCTCGGACACCTTCACAAGCTGGCAGTTGCACAGCAGACAAGCGCCGCTGCGAGCTGAGATGTGCAGAGCTGCCACTGGGGAGAACCGGGTGGAAAGGTTTCCATCCCAGAGCTCCACAAGCCGGCAGCCTGTGCATCAAACAGAAGCCGCAATCAGACAGAGATGCGCCGAGCTGCGGGGAGAAACAGCCAGCATTCCGCGCAGCAAACAGAAGCCACGATCAGACAGAGATGCGCCGAGCTGCGGGGAGACCCAGCCGGCAGCCCGCGCATAAAACAGAAGCCGCGATCAGACAGAGATACGCTGAGCTGCGGGGAGAAACAGCCGGCATTCCACGCAGCAAACAGAAGCCGCAATCAGACAGAGATGCGCCGAGCTGCGGGGAGAACCAGCCAGCAGCCCGCGCAGCAGATAGAAGCCGTGATCACAGAGATGTGCCGAGCTGCGGGGAGGGGAGAACCAGGTGGAAAACATCGGTCTCCCGAGAGCTCCACAAGCCGATAGTCGGAACCCAGCTCCACCAACATGTTATATTTCAACCCATTTTCTAATGTGCAGCATTATGTTAAATGCACTGGGTTTTACCCTATTAAATTTAAATTTCATGGTTAAACAGTACATGTTAAAATCTAAGCTCAGCTGGGCAGTGACCTAAAATACATAAATATAATTTTACTTACTGAAAAAAATGAAGTGGAGACTCCTTGGACGCTCTATTTGTGCAATTAATGTCACAACAAGTCATTTTGTCCAAAAATTGCACAAAAAATGTCCAAAATAGAATACACAAACACAGACTCAAAATGCCGGAGCAGTTTCCAAGCCAGACCGAGGCTCTACTGAGGCCTTTCCACTGAGCTAGCTCTGTGGTCACGTGGGTCTGAGGCGGCGGTCACGTGTGTCGGATGCTCATTAATTATACAGAATTTTAGGCTTTTAATATGTTTAAACAGAAGAGTGAGAAAAAATGCACCACCCTCAGAGTTGTCATGAGTGCAAACTAGATAATTTAAATAAAAAACATGTTTTGGTACCAGGCTGTAAACATGTTTATTTCTGCTGTTAAATTGGTATTTTTAACATGGGAGTCAATGAGGATTTGCTCGCTTCTGACACCAGCCCCCAGCGGATGAGGGTGGAACTGCAATTTATTTCATTTCTGGGTTTGCCTCAATTTTAGAGCCGCATTGTGGGGGCTTGCTTTACCCACATCCATGCTAGAGCTAAATGCATGTTGTCACAACTCCTTCTAAAAGAACAGTTTAAGACTAATCCAGCAGCCTTATTTTGTGCGACCCGTAACTTATTTAAATTTGCTTCCGTAGTAGCAGCCCAAATTACTGCACAATAGTTCAAGTGGCTCAAAACAATAGCTTCAACTAATACTTTTCTCCTTAAATATGAAATACGTTTTCTACCGTTCCCCACCATTGCCATGTTCTTTCCCATTTTAATTAAAATTTGTTTCACATGACTGTTCCAAGTTAGCATTTCATCAATTGTTAAACCCAGTAACCTAACTTCTCTAACCTCCTCAATTGGCATTTCCCTTATACATGAATTCAATACAGGTTCTCTCAACAAATGAGGTGATCCCATCACCATACATTTAGTCTTCTCCACATTAATAGCCAACTTATTTTCATTAATCCACCCTTCTACTAACCTCAATTCCTTTTCAAAAATAGAATTTAATTCCTCCAGATTCCTTTTCGCTACATATAAAGTCAATCATCCGCATATAATACTGTCGTGGCACATTCTAACATAAATGGAAGGTCATTAGTAAAACTTGAAAATAACAGTTGTCCAAAACAACTTCCCTGCGGAACCCCACATAAAAGATTCTTCCTTCGAGAATAACTGCCATTAAACAATACCATAAACCCCCTTCCAGTTAAGTAACTTTCCACCCATTTAATAGCTGATTCATGAAAACCATATAACCCTAATTTCATCAGTAATAGATTATGATCCACTAGATCAAATGCTGCACTCATATCCAATAATACCATCCCAGTTAGTTTTCTATTATCCATATTAGTCATCCAATGGTTAGTCATCTGTGCTAGTGCCGTTGTTGCTGAGTACCCCTTTTTGCATGCATGCTGAAATTTAGAATTCAACAGATTTTCCTCGAAATATAACGTAATTTGATCAAAAACCAGTTTTTCAATTAATTTCCCTAAAATTGGTAAAATACTCACCGGCCTACTATTTTTTCTCAGAAAAATGCTCCTTAATATTTTTTGGAAGAGGAACAATTTTTGCCATTTTCCATTTCCCTGGACATTTACATTCTTCCAAACTCAAATTAATAATGTGAGACACCGGAATTGCAATCTCATCCACCACTAATTGCAATAACTTCACATCCAAATCATCAGTACCATCAGGTCTCACCTTCATTTTCTGTATACACTTCTTCACCATATCAACTGTCACTAATTTAAATGAAAAAGAACATGATTTACTACCCATTATTTTATCTTTAATAGTTTTTCCAGTCAAATCCCCTCCTAACCCTACTTTCACATCATCTTGTAATTTTTGCACCTTGTTGATGAAATAATCACTTAAATGATTTGCTGTATCAACAGGTTTACTCAAAAATGAATCGCCAACTTCCAAATATGTCGGGAATAACTTCGGTTTCCTACCCATGACCTCATTTAACGTATTCCATAGTTTCTTTCTATCTTCTTTTACATTCACAAACTTGTTCTTGTAATACACCCTCTTTTTCATTCTATTCAGTTTTGTAACATAATTGCTTAACCTCTTGTACCTTTCCCATACTACATCATTCACCAATGCGATTGTTTCTGCCTTAATAACATCCCTTTTCCTTATATACTCGTTTAATTCACCATCCAACCACGGTGATACCACATTCCTTTCTGTCATTTTTCTTAACGGTGCATGTATATCTATGATTTGCATCATCAATTTTGTAAAACTCTCTAATGCTTCATCCGTATCTTTGCTCCCTAGTACCTGTACCCAATCAACATTTCTGACATCATCACAAAAGCTACATTCATTAAAATCCCTAAAACCCCGTTTAATAATAATTTTCTGTCCAGATTTAGGGACTTTAGTTCTTCTATTAATCATAATTAAATTATGATCACTACAGCCCAGCCCTACTGACATTGCCTTAGAGCACAGTGATTTTGCATTAGTAAAAAGTAAATCTATACATGAAACTGTTTTCACCGCTCCTACAATTCTTGTTGGTTTTGTTACCACTTATGTACCTTTTTACTTTATTAGAGCTCTAATGGAGATAGGGTAGGGGGTGATTCAGTGATTCAGTCAATGAGAAACAACAAACCTTGAGGAGATCTGGTGGTAGCAGTCAGTCGTTGATGAACATGGAGAGAGCCCAGGAGAAATCAGAAGAAACACCATCTCCAACAATCCAATTTCCTAAGAAGAGGTCGCTCACCTATTCTTGGCCTGATTCACTCTAATGTTTTTGTAAGTCCAGTGTAATTGAGTTGACAGAACTGGATTTAACACTTACAAAAAATAAAAAATAAATAAAATGGATAGCTAGCTTTAGCACATGTACATTTAAAACACATTTGGTGGACATTATTAATTTACCTGCTGTGATAAAGTTTCAACAATAAAATCTTAATTTTTGCTCCTTGATTGTTGGATTTTTTTTATTTTAATTTTATGATGTTTTAAAAAAGCATTCACATGTTTTAGTCTCAAATGAGTCAAAGCAGTGAGCTATTTGAGTAACAAATGTTATGTTTGAATGATCTGATTGGAGTTATGTTCACGCTGAAACACATGATTTAACATTTTTCCATTTAACCACAATCATTCTACATTTCAGTCTTTAACATAACAAAAACAAAGAGCATTTTTTTAGTAAAATTATGTACAATGTTTTGCAAATTGTGACAGTTGGATTTTACTAAGTATTTTTAAATGATTTCACTGTGTGCCTGTGAAGCTTTTTGCTTGTAGATTAAGCTTTTATTACTTGTTTAAAATAAATTTAGCACTGTCCTCCCATTAAAATTGCATTTTAAATAAAGGTGTATTTGTAGGTTGTTAGAAAGCATCGTTGCTAAATAACTTTTCTGAATTTTATGATTTTTTACTGCACATGTCCTGTGTATCAAAAACAAAGAATATTCACCAGATGTAAGTTTATTTGTTGTTGCCCTCTGTTCTGTTTTGAGGGAGCACACAGCAGGTTAATCTTTCCCTAACATTAGATTTTTTGCTGTACATTTAGCTAATTTTTCTCATAAATCAGTGGCACAGTAATAGTTAACATTTAGCAAAACAACTTAACAGGTTTTGGAGTTTTTAATTATCATTAAATGTCTTTAAAATTCATCACTTCATTAAAAATTACATTTCATATCTAACTGAATCTCCTCTGCTAGCAAAGCCATTTTTGAGTGTCGTTTCAGAGTTTAAAACCATTTTAATTTTAAAGAGAAAGTGTGTAGTTTCCATTGGTAATCTCTGGAAATATCCATCAAAATGCTGTTGAAAATTAATCGAATGACATCCAGTTGTTGAAAAAATATGTGGCTTTGCAACATATAACCATAAAAACCTGGTCTAAAATACACAGGAGCGGGTCCAAGTCTCTGGGCGACGCCATATCAGATGCCTTGTTTCCTTATACGAGAGGCCGTGAGGACAAACTGCATTTACTGACTTGTAACAAATTGTTACATATATTTTGCCATTCATAAACTTTGCTGTTTTACATGTTTATCTCTTCACTCATTGCCAGTGATGAAAGTGAATCTGATGTGCTTGTCATTTTGATGGAGGTTGCGCTTCCAGGGATTTTTGACCCTAATGGCCAGCCGTTGGTAAGGTCTTACTCCAACACAAAAATACTGCTTACTTATAATGATTTAGGTATACTGCCTCCTTTCACCAGGGGAAACACACTGTCACTTTAAATCATGTCACCCAACCCAGCTGCTGAACTGGTGAGCTGACTGTTAGTACACAACTGCCCTCTGCTGGTTCATTTTATTTAAGCAAACGAAACTTTTAGTTATCCTGAACTCACCAAGAATGCATGGCACATGCATTTATTTGTAAGGTTTCGTTTTGAATATTTGACTGGGTGGAGTGAGAGTATTGATACATTTTAAGCATGTGCGCGCGCGCACAGACACACACACACACACACACACACACACACACACACACACACACACACAAACAAATCCTGTGACTGAGTCATAGTTTCACATCTGTAAAATTAACTGGAACTGAGCTCAGCTCTGTGGCATCCTGGAAGCTCATATGTCACTTAAATCTCTTCAGCCCCTCTTTATCACAGAAATATAATATGTTTCACAATGTTTCATGGAGATTTCACATCAACAAATTCTATAGAATGTACAACTATGGCTTATTGCAAAACATCCTGATGTAATTCCTTACCAAATGACCATGAGTTGTCTTGATGGATGATTTCAGCACTAAAAATATGCAGCAATGTAACCTCTGTGCAGTTTAAGAAAAGAAAAAGGAACATTTGTGTGGGACAGTTTGACAATATTGTAAAATGTGTGACCAAGTTTTGTGATCTGAGCTGTAGTTTTTTTTGTCACTTCTTGTCAGAATACAAGTGGAAGTGGTGGTTCTGGTGTCTGACACATTCCACTCCTGAGTGTTGTGTAAGACGTTGTGTCACCAGCAGCCACACCTTTCCACGCCCCCTCTGAGAAGCTGCATTTACAGCTAAGCTGAGGCTCAAAACTAGAAGTACTTTGCTGGCAGCTGTGGAGCAATTACCTACCATCGGACCACAAAGAAACATGCTGTGGACGATATTTTTGCTTCTTAATGGACTGCTGATACTAGTCCTTCATTACTCTACTCGTAAAAGGTGATGCTTATGTTGGATTTTGTAAAGCTTTTGTCATTCTACTGCACAAAGCAGAATTTATAACTTTAATTTAGGCAAGCTTTTGGATACTTTTTTTAAAATTAACTGGATGATAATAAGATTGTGTTATCTGTAGTATGCTATTTAAAACACAAGTTGATGTCACTTATACTGAATCTGATCACTTCTCGGTCTAACATTGTCTTTTTACTCATAAATGAATAGTTTTTCTATGTAGTCCAGATGTCAGATGGTGGTTTAGCTAAATGAGAAAAAAGTTAGGAGTTTCTTTGCATGTCATTTTGTAAACTTTAAACCTGTTGGGTGAGGTTTATGAACGTATGAATTGTAGATATGCAAACGGTGGGTTGAGTGGATTTCCTTGTGACTGGCAGACAGAAAAATGAACCTCCTCTTGACAAAGGGCTCATCCCGTGGCTGGGACATGCTCTGGAGTTCAGAAATGATGCCGCAAAGTTTTTGGCACGCATGAAAGAGAAACATGGGGACATCTTCACAGTAAGTTAGTATAATGTTTCAGACTAGTGCTTTTAGAGGTCACAATCCAGTAGAATCATGTTTAATAATATCAGCTTTTTCATTCAGGAACATGTGTGATCAACCAGTCGTTATAACAACAACTACCACCTTTTTCTGTTAGGTTTGTGTTGCTGGTCATTATGTGACAGTGGTGTTGGACCCAAACTCTTTCGACAAAGTGCTGAATGAAACCACCAGCTTTGACTTCAGCCGTATCAGAGCCCAGATGGTAAACAGAGTCTTCAGTCTGCAGCTTCCAAGCTCCAACTCTGCACCAGAGAGGAAATGGATGGAAAAGTAATTTCTTTTAGTCTTTTTTTATTTTTATTTTTAAATAAAGCATTAATGAACTGTGAAATGAAATCCCGATTTGAATTCTTTAGTCACTTTCAAGGCCTTAATCTCCAGAAGCTGAACAGCTCCATGAACATCCACCTTCACAATCTCATCCTGAACAACCCTGAATCCTGCTGCTCCTCAGAATGGAAAGTAGACGGACTTTTTGGGCTCTGTTACAGTCTTCTTTTCAGGTAAGGGCCAGCAGTGTTGGATTAAACACAATGCCATTGTTTATATGGTGCAAGCTGTCAAACAGGAAGTGGTTGTATTCACCTTGCTGTTGCTCACAGGGCTGGGTATCTGACACTATTTGAGAGGGATGAGAATGTGGCAGCTGTCTACAAGGAGTTCCGCAAGTTTGATGATCTCCTCTACAAACTGGCTCGCAAGTCACTGAATCGAGGTACGGTGCTTTAGACGTCTAGTATGTAGTCAAACAAGCACATCCAGATTTAGTTTGGCAGCTAAATAAAAGATAAATAAACAGTCATGTTTTTGGTGTCTCATTATTGTTTGCACAAATTATATATATATATATATATATATATATATATATATATATATATATATATATATATATATATATACATATAGATAGATAGATAGATAGATAGATAGATAGATAGATATGTGTATATTTCCTTTAAAGCAAACCCATTGATATGACATTGTGTTTACAGGAGAAACAGAAATAGTCAAATTGTCCCAGGAGCGCCTGTGGAAGCTGCTATCCCCACCATATCTGACTGGAGGGTCACCATCTAATTCCTCGCAGCAGAGCTACCACCACTTCCTGCAGGAGCAGGGAATAGACACAGACATGCAGACAAAAGCTCAACTGTTGCAGCTGTGGACCACACAGGTTTGGAGGTCTTTTCTTTTCTGTCTGCATTTGCACTAATCAGAAACATGCTAACACACATCCAGGATGTAACGCCGACTCGTCATTGGATATTTGAATCCTGGTCTGTTGCAGGAAGCTTTCTAACACTGATGGATCCTGACAAAAAGGCTTCGTGCCTCAACTTGTACCTCAAACTGGATTTTCCTGTCATGTTTTATTCGTGTGAATCAGTTTCACTTGATCTCACTCAAGTTTTAGTTATCACTTGAGTAAACATCGTATGGAACAACTGTATTTGTCAGCTGGAGGTGTTTTCTATTTTCATATAGTTTCTAATATGAGTTTAGCCAACTCCTCACACCTAAATCCCTACTAAATATGACTTTTAATGGATTTTACACTCATTTATAAGTCCTAAAGCAAACCCATGTGCGCATATAGTTTATTTCTTTTCACAAACCTATACTGTAGGAAGAAGCTGATAAAGGTGTAAAACCAGAATAGTGGTCACTGTCCAGGCAAGTTCAGAGCAACATGGTGTCATTACATGCAGCTGCCAGGTGGGGGAGAAAGCGAGCTGTCAATAGGCTTTGTGTTTTTAATAAAAGCAACATTTTATCTATTGTACCTGAGCCCTGTGCTAAACTGTCCTCACTGCAACAGAGATTAGTCAGTCTGCTCATCCTGAGAGACTGTCGCCAGGCCCCGATTATGTTTGTTCATTTTCCTGATCGCTGCCATGAATGAGTTCAGATCCTCAGTGTTGCATCAAAACTGGAGCAGCACTGCAGAGAACAGAGGATTAGATTTAGAGACCAGTGGAAGGTGCCAGAGGGACTGTGGCTGGTTTCTCCATCATGTTGCAGGCAGACTGGTGTTTCTGAGTAAAGTTTAATGCAAAGATTTGACTAAATCCACCTACATTATCATGACTTCTGCACAAGCAGGTTGCAATGTGCTTTTCCGTTTGCAAACAATCAATTTTATCGACTGAAAGAAATGGTAGAAACACAAAAAAAATCATGTATTAGTTATTTACATCTCTGGACAAAGTGTGATTCAAACTGTGGTGGTGGGAAAACTCTCACCCCACACACGAGTCTCTATTGTTATTACAGGGTATACTATATCTGTCCTTATTTAGTTAGCTTAGCATTTAGAAGCTAAACCTCTCAGAAGATCTGCCTCATTTGTATCAATGATGCCTAACAATCCCCTCATCTAACAGTAATTATACTTCCAGAAGTGGCCAGTCTCTTCTTTTATTAATCTTGCAACTGTTGAGGTAACAGACTTGTATCATTATGAATCTTGTTATCTGAAGACCTGACGAGGGCAAACAGGCAATGTGGTGTAGCTTTGGTTGGTTTGGGGCATTTGCCCTGCTGTCAGTGGAGATCTGACCTGAGACCAGCGCAGGTGATAGGAACAGCTCCCTTAACCCACAGCAATTACTGTCTGACAGGCTCGGGTACCCCCATCAGAGAGACTCACAGCAGAGTGTGGACTCATTTACTGCCTTCTCCTCACATTCAGACAAAATCATAACACTAACACCTGAAGGATGCTTTGTACTTGAAATATTCTAAAACCTTAACAACCGTTTTGGTATTTGTGCACACACTCTGTCCGTTAATCCTGAATGACTCTGTAGAGCTTCTGTTAAACCTTGTGGATGTTATTTTTCATTCTACTTTCAGTGCAACGCTGGTCCTGCTGCCTTTTGGCTCCTTGGTTTCCTGCTCACTCACCCTGAGGCCATGGAGGCTGTTAAGTCAGAGATCAGAGGCCTTTCCGCCCTTCAGGATACTTCCCTGCAGCGGCCTCGCTTAAACCAGCTGGGACCATGCAGCACACCCGTGTTTGGTATATAACAACCCTTTATGTTATCCATCTATGGTTTAATCACGTTAACAAGATAAAACTAAACTCTTTATCTACACATGACCTTTGATTCAGTTTAAATTAATTTCTTCCTATTGGCACAAACCATTGTACCTTTTTAGATTACGCCGAAAGGCATCCCTGATTTAACTGATGCAGACGGCGCGCTGACATTATCCACCTCACTGTCATTTCCATTGTGCAGATAGCGTTCTGAATGAGACCCTACGGCTCACCGCTGCTGTGATGATCAATAGAGAAGTGATGCAGGATAAGCTCCTCCCTATGGCTGATGGGAAGGAGTACCACCTCAGAAAAGGGGACCGAGTGTGTCTGTTTCCCTTCCTCAGCCCTCAGATGGACCCAGAGATTCACCAGGATCCACAGGTATTCAACGTGTAGACCCAAATTGTTTTTGTATGTCACTTAATGGGTCCAACATGGTGATGTGGAGATACACCGTGTTCATCGGTTATAATTATAGATGCCAGTTTTCAAAAATCAAACCTTTTTCTCATGAATGCTCAGGAGCAAAGTGGCTGACAGAGATTTTTTATGTATGTACAAGGTGTTCAGTCAGAGTAAGTAGAAGAAGCCACCTAACTGAACTGTGAATATTTTATTCACATTTTAATTGACATTTTATGGAGACATGTCTGCAACAGTTCATTATCAGTGGATCTGGGGTCTGTTACTCTCCAAGGAGGTTGCCACAAAATTGCAGGGGGTCTCCATAATTTTGTCTGTGTTGATGTTGTGAGATTACCAAGATTATATTTGTAAACATGCCCAATTTTAATTTAACATGCCCAACTTTGTATGTCTGTATAAAGTTTGTAGTTATTCATGTTTAATCATGTGCAAACAGGTAGAAGTTGGGATTGGGGAGGGCTTGGACACAGGAAAGGGTTGAGAACCACGGCATTAAATGACAGCAATTTAATAATCCAGCATTTCTCATGCTAAATTTGAGTTTGAGGTAAATTTTTCACAGCTCATTTGTTTTACATGTTTAATTTGAGGTTTGTAGGAAACAGTTGGTTTGTTCTCTGATTTAGTACCTTTTGTGTTTTAAAGTGTGTAAAATAGCTAGGAGTGGGTATTTAAAGCGTTAATTATGATTATTTAATTTAAGAAAAATGTTGCATTAAAAATGACCCCTTTGAGTCTGGGCGTCCCCCAATTGGGGGCTGAAAATGTTTTGCTTAAAAAAGTATGCCCTAAACATCATCAAGCTGCAGCTTTATGTGCTCCAAACTCAACTAAAACTACAATGAAATAAATCATGACAAATCACTCTTTATAAAGAAATGAAAGGAAGAAAAAAAATCTACTTTTTACTTTTATATGTTCTAATTGGTGGAAAGCAGAAAGGCAGTAACTTCATCCATCTGAACTTTATTACAGCAGGAGGGACAAGCATACACACATTATTCACCTTGTAACTCTCAGCATAACTCCCCCTGAACTCTACACTACACCTCTATGCATGTGTGTGTGTGTGTGTGTGTGTGTGTGTGTATATATATATATATATATATATATATATATATATATATATATATATATATATATATATATATATATATATATATATATATATATATATAAACGCAGTGATCTGCTGCCACCTAGTGTTCAATTCAAGATGCAAAATGTCTTTGTCCATTTACACTTCATCAATAAAACATTAACTAATATTTACCCATCTCTACAAATCCCACAATGGTTAGCTTTGTAATAAGATAATAAAATAGGCCTTGTGGCTAGAGAGAAATACTCATTAAAGTGTGGGTATGTCATCTGTGTTTCACTAACATTATTTTTGATTAAAATAGTTACTAAGGGGGAACATTGTCTTGAATGATTAAAATCTAATTAATCAAGATTAATGAATTACAAAGCCCCTGATTAATTAGAATGCATTTAATAATAATAATAATAATAATAATAATAATAATAATAATAATAATAATAATAATAATAATAATAATAATAATAATAATAATAATAATAATAATAAAATGATAAAATAACTAATACATACAATATTAATTAAAAGGACACAATATGATAATTTTCCCCTTTTATTGTCCACTAAGATAAAAAAATAATGAAATTATGTTTTCTTTAATTGTCTATTCATTGTGTTCATTGTGGCGGTCTTATAACATAAAAAAGATATTATTGTTATTTAGTTAAAGCAACCCTGTACGTTAAGCTAGTGTTAGGGTGAAGATGGTTACGTTTTTAGATTAACCAGAACGTTTTCAAAAATGTACTTGAATGCTGTCATCATTAATGATCCTCTTAGAGAAATCTGAATCACAGCAAAATTGGAGCTTTGCATAAATTAGAAAACTGTAATTGGTGCATCTCTAATTAAAAAGCCTGAACATAATTATATCTTCAAGCAATATTATAGCACATAAGGTTAGTGAGGCAGAATGAAATCAGTCTGAGTAACCGCAGCATAAAGATTAACACTTATAAATGTAAAAATGGGATTATCATCAGCACCAGAGCAACATCATTTGTTGTTGCTCATCTGTGATGGCTGCTGATTGTAATTAGACCTTTTCTTAACCAAAGAGCAGGAACACACGATCATAATCATCACCCATATTCTCCCCTTGCCTTAACAGATGTTCAAGTACGATCGTTTTCTGAACAAGAACAAAACGTTGAAGGATGAATTCTGCAAGGACAGGAAAAGGCTGAAGTACTACATCATGCCTTGGGGTGCAGGGAGGAACAGCTGTGTTGGCAAAGAGTTTGCTGTTACAGCCATTAGGCAGTAAGTGTACAAATCCACAGGTTTTTTTTTAATGTCTCATGGCTCTTGCATGCATCTGAGATCTCGAAAATGTTGCATTTGTGATCAAAGAGTTTCCAGCGGTTTCATCTCCATTAACAGATTCAACCAGCAAAATCCATCTGAGTCTAATTTTCCTCCTTTTATCATATCGGTCTCGCTTTCATGTTCTGTGTCTACATTAGCAGCAATCATTGGAATCGCTAATACTAATGAAGGAGGCAGAACCTTTCTCTGTCATGCAAAGGTTAAAGGTCACGCCATGCATTTAATAACACGAGAAAGTGATGCTGTTATGTTGTCATCAGGAATTCTTTAGGAATTATGTTGCTGCAGATATTCAACAGCTGGGCTAGTTGTGACAGATGTCGTGATTTTTTTTCCATCTATAGTTTTGTTTTCCTGCTTCTGACCCATCTTGATCTGGAGCTGTGCAACCCTGGAGCTGAACTTCCACCAGTTAATTCCCGTCGCTACGGCTTTGGGATGCTGCATCCAGAAGGAGATCTGCTGGTCAGATACAGACTGAAGAGGACATGAGATTTTACATTAGTAAACTGTTCCCTAAATGTCTTATTTATTCAGTTTTATATTGAATCCATCTCCTTTTTGAACTGTATTTAAAGTTTAGTGAGAAATAATATTTATAATAAAAAATGTAAAACTAAGTCAGCCTCTCTTTGCTTCCACGGCATTATTACCATACCATACCATACAATACCATACCATACCATATCATACCATACCATACCATACCATACCATACCATATTTATTTATAAAGCACCATTTCAAAATAGCATGGCAGCTAACCAAAGTGCTATACATAAAAAGCCAAATGCTTGAAGAAACACAATAAGAACATGCAAAATACATAAGAACAAAGAATAAATAGTCAGAGATAAAAATTCCTACTAAAAACAATAAAATAGGAGAACAGTTAACAGCACTATAAAATAAAATAATGCGACCAATGATAAAAACATTTGAAATGGCACATATAAAATGAAATAAAATACCAGATGGTGCGAGGTGCCAAAAGTGAGCAATTAAATCATAAAAATGGAATTAAAAACTCAAATCCGTTGCTAGATTGTCATGAAAAGTGTCACGGAGGGAAGGCAATGCTAAAGAAGTGCGTTTTCCGGGCCGACTTGAAACTGCTAACAGAGGGAACCAGACACACACGGAGGGGCAGAGAGTTCCAGAGTTTTGGGGCTGCATAAGAGAAGGCACGCTCCCCCCGTGATTTGTACCGAACCTTTGGAACAACAAGCAGCAGATGATCTGCTGACCAAAGGTCACGGGTGGGAACATATGGGGTCATTTATTATTACTACGTTCGGTGACAGACCACCAAAATTTGTTTTTAAAATTCCACATTCAATAGGCTAGGGGTCTCAAAGGGTAACACTTTACAATAAGGGTCCCTTCTTAAAGGGATTCTTTGCAAAATTTCCATTTTTTCAAATAATTTTCTTGAGCCAGTATATGCTAAAAAGACCCTTTACAGAGTTAATGAAATGTCACTCAGAGCCCCACCACCCTCTGTGGCCAGAATACAGTAACTTCAGAAGTTCAGAGTGCTGGTCTGGTCTGTTGGACTTGGAAAGAAATCTAGATGACCTACCGGGTGCTGCAGTCTGCTTCCAGCCCATTTCCTGCGTGTTTTAGATCATAAACACAGCTGATTTGTTTACTTTAGTGAAGAACCACTCCTGTAGACACTAATGAAGACTGGAGAGACATTTCAGATGTTAGATTAAGGTGTTACAAAGATGAATGCACAGCGAGGAGGTAGGTTTTGCTTTTGGTTCTACTAAACGGACACTAGTGTGTGCTAAAAGCAAGCCAAAACTGCCTGGTCTCCCTTTACCCATTACTCACTGCATTATTGGGGGTGCTGCTTAGTAATGCTTTATATGGTTAAGTAGCTGTTAATAAGTTATTTAATAGTTTATTGATGCTTAATAATGTACTAAGGGACAATAATAAAGGGACATTTATTGTAAATTGTTACCCTTCAAAGATTCTCGCAGCAACTTCTATATTCTTATTAGATGTTTTTGAACTCCATTAATACGTTTTTCGACAAAACCATGATGCATTCATTCAAATGTTATAAAAAATAATTTCTTACGAACTAGGGACTTTTCTTACTGCCCAAATTGTTACGCAGTATCTATCATACTATGTGTCCAGTTTTCTGGGGTCATTTTCTCTGCTTAAATTTTAAGACAAAGAAATTTAAAGTTTAAAGGTTCCAGATCATGCTATTTAAAGTATCCACAATATATAACTAAATATTACAGTTGGCACTATTGAGATGTCATTTATCTTAAAAAGGGGTTATTTTGGTCTGCCCACGTTCGCTCTGACAAAATGTGAAAAAACAGCATCTTAAGCAAGCATGCTGTTGTATTGTCCTTTGTAGTACAGTGGTTTAAGTGCCTGCCTTGGTGCTGTAAGTACTGGACTATCAAGTCTGTTAGAAAACAATAGTCGCCTAACACACTTATCCTGTGCTGGCCATTGTGTGCATCTTTGTGGACAGGATGCATGGTTTTTATGATGGTGTTTTGTCCCCAATGCAGAAGTAATCTGTTAGTATGTCCACAGAATATCCAGGTTTCAGAATGGAGACCAGACCAAATTCAGGGAGCAAAAAGAAGAAATGCCAGATGACACAAGGGGGCTACATTCTTCTGTTTGCAGTAAAATTCTTTACATCGACTAAATTGCAGCTGTAACAGGAAATACAAAAAGAAAGCCTGGTTTGGGGGTATTGCTTATGAAAAAATGACAATACAACATGGTAAAAAGCCCCCAATGGTGGCTTTTTCATGATATGGAACCATTACATTGTTTGTTTTTAACTTGATTCCAACAAACATAATTACAAATACAGAGAAATTGTAATTTCATGCAGTAACAAAGTGTGTTTACTTCATTCCATCATTTGGTAGAGCTTTATGTAAATTAGTAAGTAGTAAATTTTATTTTTTAGCACTTATCACAGACATAGAATTACAAAGTGCTTCACATAGACCAAAACAAAATAAAACAAAGCCATAAAATCATAATGATGTCAAAACAGAATTACATTAATATCAGAAAAAATAATGTCATAAAATTATAAAATTTCCTAAACAAATGAAAGTTTACAAATTTGAGTTAAAAATAAGAAAATGAAAGAATTTGGTTAAAAGCAGCTTTAAAAAAAGGGTCTTTAGCTGTTTTATAAAAATGTCCAGACTGTCAGTGCTACGTAAAAATAAATTAGGGAATATTGAGGGAATAAATTAGGTCATAATTTGCAGAAATATTTGTGAAATTAGGATCATTAATCAACACGTGCAGTGGTCTCTATTAGAAATTAATGCCTTGAAAGTGTGTGTGTGTGTGTGTGTGGGGGGGGGGGGGGGGGGCAGCTTCAGGAAGTAAAAGTAAGCCACATCTGAGCTGCGCTTCTGATGGCAGAATGTGGAGTCTTATATCCTAATACTTGGACATCTTGCCTGTACCAATTACTTGCAACTTGGATATTTTATCTCTACAAATAACAAGTGTGAAAGAGTTCTGCTGTGTGGTGGAGTTGCTAATGCTAACGGTTAGCTTCTAGTAGTTCAAACTTGTCTGCTGTTTGCTGGATGCTAAATCAACAGCCGTCCCCGTCTTGAGTCAAGATCAGTGAGTCCATGAGTGTTCAGTGACAGTGTGACGTAGATCTGTCAGGATTTTCAAATCCTGGAGTTTCACTGTCTATTTTCTATCAGAAGCTAAGGCGGCAGATAGGTGTAGGAGACTATGTTCAGCCTGCATGAAAAACTTAGAGTCACTGATCATGATCAAAAATAATCATTAAAAATTGTTTTTCAGTGTTCCACACCTTTAATAAAGACTTTCCTGTGCGGATGAAATATGAGTTAGTGCAAAGCAAGTAGAACAGGCATGGGCAACCCTGGTCCTCGAGGGTCAGTATCCTGCATGTCTTTGCTCCAACACGTCTGATTCAGTAGTTGATTCACCTGTTCTACAGCTCATCAAGCTCTGCAGAAGCCTGTTAATCACCTGCTGATTGAAATCAGGTGTGATGATGCAGGGTTGAAACTCAAATATGCTGGGTGGCAGCCCTCAATGGACCAGGGCTCCCCACCCCAGAACAAGAACTGCATTTAGACCAGTTTGGGTTTTATTAGAAATCCTTAAGAATCACAATGCAAAAAGGAGATGGCATTTTCACACAGATATGGCTGAACGTTTCAGTAAAGCACCATGCTGTCATCAGTGAGGCATCTCTTTAAAATGAGCTAAAAGTTGGCTTCCTGCCTGCAGGCAAAAGGGAGGAAATGTGTTTTGTGTTTGGTTGAAACTAAAAATAAAGCAACCAGGCCATATTCCCACAAATATAAATTGTATTTCTCCTTCCACCTGCCTTACAGCAGCAGCAGCGGTGTGCTCCCTGAGACTGGGAACGCGGAGCAGAAGGAGTTAACCAGATGTGGACGGGAGCTGGGAGCTGCCATGGATCCACCTTCACAGAGCTGCTGCTGCGCCTCCTCACACAGCTGACGGGAACCGCAGGTACTCTGAATCGGTGCAATACTTGTTGATCTCCGGTAGAAACGGGAAGGAAGCTGCGACATGCGGATCGGAAAGCCGGCGGATGGGCGTTAGATCGATCTAAAGATCTCCCTGCAATGTCGGTGGCAGAGGAGGGGAAGATGGGTTAAACCCTGGCAGCATCAACGACGCCTCCCGTTATTAAACGCTTCTGTTCTCCATGGCTGCGGATTGATTGTTCACGGAGCGGTACGTGCTGACAACAGCCCACCACAGCTGATATATTTATGCTCATTTGCATCTCTGGACTTTAATAGCTGTTTCGGTATCTGAGCAGCACCGACATGGAGCATCCACTGAAAAAATGCGTTTAATGCTCAGCATTTGAGGGATTCTTGTACTTTTAGGTGATTCTCCAGCTTATTTAAGTCCTTTTTACGCAGAGCAGCACTATTTGCACACGAGGGAGGGATGTTTGCTTAACATTCAGCCTTTTTATTAAAGCTCTGACTTAGGGGGTAGAGGATACGCTTCACATTATTTCTGTTTCGCGTGTTCTGCACGCCTGTAACAGCATGTACAATGATGTAGCCATCCTTGGTTCATGTCTGGTGGTATACTCTGTTTTGGACGGATACTGTTGTGCATCTTGAACCAGCCGTGAGGCTGATTTGTGTTTGGGAAGTGTCAGAAACTTTAGATGCGCATCAGCAGGCCTGGTGAGCAGACGCTCTGAAACGATGTGGGCAGCGGGTGCCACGTCTCCAGCCATTAAAATGTTCAGGGAAAGACTGGAATCTAGTCATGAAAGGATGTTTCCTTGTCAAATTCCCTCTGTGGAGGAAAGAGCGCTTCTTGGTGTTTCAGCACCAGCGGGCTGGACAGCGCACACCCCGCGTCCCACCCACAGAACTGCAAGGGCGTCAGTGGAACAAAACAAACCTCTGCAACATCCAAACCCAGCACAGATCTGCTTCCTCCATATCAAATCCATCAGACTAGGACCGGTCTCCAGATCCAAGTACTTTTTGGTAACTGCTACATTATTGCATTTCACTTAAAACATGCTATTTGTGTCTAAAACATCTCAGTACATTTTTACTGGGCTGATTTAGGGGCATGAGTCATCACAAGAACCATGTGATGCAAAGAAAAGTCATGAAAAGTGCAGTTTTAAACTTAAAAACAGCAACATTCCTCCCTCTTATATCAACTCCATCAGACCACTTTGTTATTTTCTGGTGGTTGCTAGTCTGTAAAGTCTTATGTTGACTTATGTTCCTTATTCCTATGATTGTTGGAATGAAACAGGAATAAGCCAGGACTGTGTTTTCTTGGGTTGATAACACGAGGTGAGTCACCTCAGTAAATCCCCATCTGTTCACCAAAGCTTAGCTGTTGATTAGGAATAAACACAAACAGTTATTTTTTCAGATTTATTTACATAAAAGGAACAACATTTGAAGCAATAGAATAGCTCCACATATATTAGGTATGATTGTTTTAACCATGGATGCTATATCTGATCTTTTGTATCTTGCATATTTGTTCAATTCACTAATCTGTATTAGGAATTGGAAGATGAAACCAACTGGAAGTAATGAAAGAAGAAGTCACTTTGTGAACATATTAGCTACTGGATAATTCAGCAGGTCAGGGCTGTAAAAACCTTTCAAGATAAGTTAACCAAAGTTGTCAGGTTAAAGGTGGAATATGGAGCACGAATGCCAAAGCGACATCTAGTGTGTGGAGGTTGTAGATGCAACAATGGAACAAGGTTTCCAGCCGTCAGGATACCAGGTTCGCTGCCGATACGTGAAATAATTTATTTGGGTCCATCTGTTATAGGCTTCACCTAAACTCACTCTGGTTTTAGATCTTTTATGGTCACTCCACTTCTGAGAAGGAGAACGGCATGTTTTGGGCTCAGAAGCTTGACTTATCAAGTCCGCCATTTTCCACAGTGTTTGGCAACCTGCAACAGTACTCTCTATTGACTGGTAGAAGTAAACATAAACCCAGTGTTGTGCCGTCAAAATAAATTTGAACACTTTTTAAATAAATATAGCTTTTAAAGGTACTACTTTAAAATAAAGGTAACTTTTATTCTGCACACCTCTAAACACCATGTGGAGGTGTTATTTTTTAAATTTATTTTTTTATTAAATTGTTTCATCTTCAACCTTTAATATTTGTTGTGCTAAACTCCTCATAACAAGTCTCATTATAGACAAATAAATAAAAATATGTACATACAAATGTAAGAAAGTCTCAATCTATATTAATTTATTTTATTCACTCACTTACATTTTCAGAGGATGAAAACCACTTGAGATGAACCATCTCGTTTTCAAGAAGGTCCTCCATAAAAATTAACAATGAGAATAGAAAAAGAACCAAGATAACATTAGCAACAATATCCAAACAAACGTAAGAAAGCAAGGGCAAAACAAAATCACAACTGCATAAAATAACCAAATAAACAAAGTCAAATGACATTTTACACATTTGTATGGAGATACAATCCTTAGATGCTCACAAAGTCACTTGTAAACATAAAGATACACACGACACATCAAATCAAAACACTGATGACAAACAGTAGATAGCGCTGAGGTATGTGGCGGTATGTTGAGAAATACTGCTGCATAACTATTCAACCATGAGGAAAGTCAGAAACAGTTGCAAATGGGCGTTATATATTCATACACCAAAGATCTAAACTGACTAAAAGATATAATTGGACCATAAATCAGCATATATCAATAATTAATGGGGAAATAATTATTATTAAGGACCACACAAAATAAATCCAAAGGCCAAAGTGCTGCTGCACTTTAGGACACACCTGGTTTAGGTGACTGAAAACCAAATGAAGTTGGTAAAAATAGGAAACATCAGCTTTTAAAGTCAAACGTTTTCATCATCACTTCAGAATCATAAAACATTTTGAGCCAATTTGGGAATAACTATAGTTTTGATGGTTTTTTTTTGTTTGTTTCCTTTTAGATGCCGTAATGAAAGAAAGGAAGATCTGCTTTAATCCATAGATGTTTGGATGTTTCCTCACTTTAACGTCATCATGGAAAAGTCCTTGGAGCTAAACAAAGCTGGCTCCCGGTCAACATCGTCCCTGCCACCCGAGCCAGTGGACATCATCCGCAGCAAGTCATGTTACCGCCGAGTCCGGCTGAATGTTGGGGGGCTCCCTCACGAGGTCCTGTGGCGAACGTTAGACCGGCTCCCACGAACACGCCTGGGAAAGCTGAGAGACTGCAACTCCCACGAGTCTCTGATGGAGGTCTGTGACGACTACAACCTAGAGGAGAACGAGTATTTCTTTGACCGACATCCAGGAGCGTTCACATCCATTCTGAATTTCTACCGCACGGGCAAGCTGCACATGATGGAGGAAATGTGTGCTTTGTCATTCAGCCAGGAGCTCGACTTCTGGGGCATCGACGAGATCTATCTGGAGTCCTGTTGCCAGGCAAGGTACCACCAGAAAAAGGAGCAGATGAACGAGGAGCTGAAAAGAGAAGCGGACAACCTGAAGGACCGAGAGGGTGAGGAGTTTGACAACACGTGCTGTGCAGAGAAAAGGAAAAAGCTCTGGGATCTCCTGGAAAAGCCGAGCTCATCTGTTGCAGCAAAGGTAACTTTGCATAGGAGCGTGGTTTCACCTGAACATGAATAATCAACTCATGATACGTTAAGACCAACACACTGATGAGTGTGTAAACAGAAACAAACTAGAGAACACTGCTAATGCATAGATTCAATGAGTGATCCACTTCCTTAAATAAAAGGGAATCATGAGATAAAAAATGGTGTAACACGTTTAACAATGTGCTTGCTAAATAGCAGCGATTTAGCAGTGCTTGCTGAATAAACAGCTACAAGACAGCATTTTTAAAAGTCTTTCAGATGTTTTTGTTGGTCTTTATGAAAGTGGGTGATCTTATCCAGCACTGAAAACTGGATTCTGGAAGCAAAAAATCTTGAGAGGTGAACGTTTCCATCAGTAGAATATCCCACGTGTTCATTATCACAAATTTTAAGGATCCCGCAATCTATCTTAGACTACAAACAAAGGAAACATCCTAAATCAGCAAACCAAGCCTAACTCCAAACGCTTAACTCCATGTTTTAATCACAATTTCTGATATTTAGCCTCTAATGAAGATCTGCTCATTTCACACACCGCCTGTCTTCCAAAGACCAGGTCTGTTTATGTTTGACGCTTTGAGTTGTGTAACGTTTGGAGCTCTGAATTTAGAAGCGTCTGACCTAAGGTGTGAATGCAACAACACAGCCTTACAGACACACCAGCGAGCTGTTTCCCTGCTACTGATGCTCGGTACGGTAATTCAACAGCGAAATATCTGCACACTTACAGTAATATATGGAGATAACGATGGGTATTTTTTTTATCAATTCATGTCTTGATCCCATCATCTGGATGCCTCGCTGTGAGCCATCTTAATTAACAATCTCATCAAAGCATTACATCAGAGTCATTATCTGTAATGTCTAAAGTAAACTTATTATCTAGTGCTTTGACAGATCAGTCTGCTCTTAAAAACACGCACACATACAACCTAGTCATTATTATACACTCAAAAACAGGCGTTGAAAGGCACGGATGTATAGATCTACAGTCATGCTCGCACAGAACCAATAAATTATTTAAACACAACATTCTCTCTTAAAAAGAATACACCCTTTTTTCACTTTTAGATTCTCCTCTAAAGGCAGTTAGTTGTTTTTGTTCGACAGCCTCACAGTGAATCATAGCAGTGAATCTGTGATCTTTTTTTTTTCCACAGAAGGCTGAGATATTGGTTTATAAGGCATCTGTGTGCACACAAAGAGAAGTCAGAAATAATTGAAAGTGTGAATTGTTCGGATGTGTCAGTGCATGTGAGCTGCACTTTCTTTCTGATTAATAAAAGACAGCTTGATGTGTACTTTACCTTACCTCATCTGAATTATGACAAGCAGTGGGGAAAAAGCAGAAAAAGTTGGACGAGTGGCTCATGAAAGACTCCATATATATTGGGAAGTCAGATCATATTTCTCAAGCACTTTATTAGTGAGGAACCTTAAAGAGCTTGCAGCTGTTTGACTTTAAAGCGCACAGGGTTGGATGCTAGCATTAAGCGCTGGTGAATGGTTGAACGAGCCCAGAATCTGGTGTTTTGTAACAGCTATGTGTCGAGTAATTGCATGCCTCGCCCTGGTGCACATTATGTCCTTATCTTTGAAAGCCATATCTGAAGACTCCTAGCAGCTGTACGTGCCCTTAGTCCGGATACAAGATACGTCTGGTTGTCAGTGGACCGTTTAGAGAACCAAACCTGCAACCTGTGCGGCCACAGCAGTTGTTAAACATGAAAAAAAAAAAAAATTTTGATCGCACTCATCAAGGTTCAGTGGTTTCGGGGGATCAAAGAGCGTGCTGTTTCCAGAGCCTGTTTTAGGAAACTTGTTTTAGCTTGCAGGTAGCATGGTGAGGGAATTAAACAATGAGCTTCTTGTAGTGGATAATGCTCTGCAGTGAGGATTTGAGAGAAATGTCAGCTCTGAAACAAGAAGTGCAAGTTGAGAAGGAAATGTATTCTTCACAGGAATCAAAGAGATGCAAAATCGATGTTTATTGTGTTACAGCTGAAGCTGAAGAAAGTGCTGTAGCCTACTAAATTCCGATGACCACTTTGACTCAACTGTGTGTTACTGTCAGATTTCTACTGTTTTTCAAAAGCACTTTGAAGCAATTTGATGGCCATTCTGGATTGACTCTGATTTAGTTGCATTATTATGAAAATGTCTACTTCTCACATTATGGCAAATCTGGATTTTTCAGTCAAATGGCACCATCTAAAGGGGGAAAATGTATTGCACCTTGAACGACTGTAATCAGCTTCTTAAAAACTGTTTCTTTCATCTCCGGAACATCTCTGACTTTAAACCTTGAATTTCCAAGTCCGAACTGCCTGATTCATGCTTTTGTTTCATCGTGTTTGGACAACTGCAACAGTCTCTTAGCTGGTCTAAACTTTAAGCAGCAAAAACACTTACAACTAGTGCAAATAGCTGATGTACGGCTGTTATCGGGAGTTCATAAACAATCATTATTCCTGGTTTTTCTTCAATTTACTGGCTTCCTGTGAATTTTAGAGTTCATTGTAAAATCCTGTCCTTAACTTTTAAAGCCTTACATAATCAAGCTCCCTTAAATTTAACTGATCTGGTGCAAATCTACACTCCCAAATGTTGCTTGAGATCGGAAGGTCAGATGTTACTGGTGATCCCAAAAACCCCGCAATCTCTCCTTTGAGGTTATCGCTCTGAGGCGGTGGGACGCACTTCCTCTCTCTCTTCACTGTGTTGATTCCTTTTTCTGTGCTTAAAAGACTTTGTCTTTTCAAACTTGCTTTTATTAATTTTATTGCTTTCCTTATTCTCATATTTATTCTTGTACAACTAAACATTACTTAGTATTTCCATGTTTACTTTCTTACTTATGTGCTTACTGACTTACTTACTTACTTACTTACTTACTATGTACTTACTTGCTTACTTACTTATGCACTTACTTACTTACCTACCTACCTGCCTACCTATTTAATTACTTACTTACTTACTTACTTACTTACATACATACTTTCTCACTTACTTACTTATCTACGTACTCACTTACTTACTGTCTTACTTACCTATGTACTTACTTACTTACTTACTTATGTGCTTACTTACTGACTCACATACTTACTTACTTACTTACTTATATACATACTTGATTACCTTTGGATGTGCTTACTTACTTACTTATGTATTTACTTACTGACTTACATACTTACTTACTTGTATACTTACTTGCTGGCTTATGTAATTACTTAGTGACTTACATACTTACTTACTTATGTACTTACTTGATGACTTTTGTATGTGCTTACTTACTTATGTATTTGCTTACTGACTTACATACTTACTTACTTATGTACGTACTTACTTATTTACTTACCTACATACTTACTTATTTACTGTCTTACTTACTTATGTACTTACTTACTTACTTACTTTCTTATGTGCTTACTTACTTACTCACATACTTACTTACTTACTTACTTACTTATATACTTACTTGATGACTTTTGTATGTGCTTATTTACTTATGTATTTACTTACTGATTTACTTACTTACTTACTTACTTGTATACTTACTTGCTGGCTTATGTACTTACTTACTGACTTACATACTTACTTACTTATGTACTTACTTGATGACTTTTGTATGTGCTTACTTACTTACTTATGTATTTGCTTACTGACTTACATACTTACTTACTTATGTACTTACTTGCTGGCTTATGTATTTACTTACTGACTTACATACTTACTTACTTATGTACTTACTTACTTACTTATGTGCTTACTTACTGACTTACATACTTACTTATGTACTTACTTGCTGACTTACGTACTTACGTATGTACTTACTTACTTACTTACTTACTTACTTACGTGCTTACTTACTGACTTACATACTTATGTACTTACTTGCTGACTTATGTACTTACTTATGTGATTACTTACTGACTTACATACTTACTTATGTGCTTACTTACTGACTTACATACTTACTTATGTGCTTACTTACTGACTTACATATTATGTGCTTACTTACTTAGTTACTTACTTACTTACTTACTTATACTTACTTACTTACTTACTTACTTACGTACTTACTTATATACTTACTTGATGACTGTTGTATGTACTTACTTGCTGGCTTATGTACTTACTTACAGACTTACATACTTACTTACTTATGTACTTACTTGCTGGCTTATGTATTTACTTACTGACTTACATACTTACTTACTTATGTACTTACTTACTTACTTATGTGCTTACTTACTGACTTACATACGTACTTATGTACTTACTTGCTGACTTACGTACTTACTTACTTACTCATGTGTTTACTTACTGACTTACATATTTACTTATGTACTTACTTGCTGACTTATGTATGTGCTTACTTACTTACGTATGTACTTACTTACCTACGTACATACTTACTTACTTACTTACCTACAGACTTACTTATTTACTGTCTTACTTGTTACGATCCAGGCTGTCTAGTGGGCCTGGGGTAACAAGGAGGACACATGCACGGGTATTTAAAAGTTAACAAATGTATTTACACCAAGGAAAAATAAACACAACTGGACTAATCGGCGGCAACTAAAATAGTAAAATAAAATAAACTCTACTCAGCCAATATACCTACAAATCAGGGAAACCCCTGCACATAAAAGACACAAATTGGCTAAAAGAGATTAAAACAAAAGCATGCCGAGGAGCCAACAGGACAGAGACCACATGTCCAGCCTGTTGCTCCCTGATGGTGAGAGCTGGCTGGCTTTTATGCAGTGAGTCCCCATTCAACTGCTGATTGTCACTGCCACCAGGTGGGACTTCAGGGTGGGGCCGGACAGGTGTGGGAGAAACCAGGTGCTGCAAAACAGCTCTTCTCAGACAAGAGGGATAAAACAGAGGAGTAAGAAATGATATAAAAACATAAATGGCACCAGCCATAACACCCCCCCCCACCCCCCCAAGAATAAAGTTATCAACTTTAACACA